TAGCTCATAGGTGTGGCTAAACAATTTCAGAACTAATAAAAGGGATGTCGTAATCATACTCTCAATTGTTTAGACCTTTTCCATTTCTCATAATCCCATGTTAGTGTGCCGGTTAACCACACATGCTTCACTAAAGACTTTGAGAGCTGCAAATATCATAATTGTTATCTACTTAAAATCTACTTAGTGAAAGAATTTCCACACCATCATTTTCATGAATCAGAGAGAAACCTTATGACACTTAGATCTTATGGTGTATGTGTTCTTATCCATGTGAATTTATCAAAACCATAATCACAAGACTAGATTAGTGACAAATCCTAACTCATATGGATTGAACGTGTGTAATCTTAACCTCTTGCCACCTGGCAGCAAAAGGGCCTTCCATTGCTTCCAAGTAGCTATGCAGACAATTAAGAACATGTAGAACTCAAATGTTATAGCCAACTTAACTGGAATGGGCACAGAAATGTCAACACGACAGGTTATAAATCTCTAGTTGTGTGTTAGTGATGAAATACAGGTTTTATTCTTGATTAGTTCTTGAAACCATTTCAAGATCTTTTAGACTCCCACTGTCTTCTTGACCAATAAGACTTTCTTGCCAAATATTCAAGAAGTAGTGTGGATTCTTAATCAAGACAAACACTTCACACAATTGGCCTTAGTTGGTCTTTGTTTTATCCAAATCATCACAACTTACCAATTTCAAATGTACAAGAGTAGAAAACTTTTACTCTTACATTTGACAAGTGTTTTAAACATTCTTTAAGACGTGTCACTCAAGTTACAATCTTGGAGTATGACTCTAAGATTTTTTTTAATTTTTTTATTTTTTTGGAACGAAGCATGACTCATCTTCTTGATTTAATTATTTCAACAATTCAAGATTCCTTTTCTTAGTCATAAGAATACACTAAGATGACTTTAGAGGACTAATTGTGACATGATTTCTAAATCATTAAGACGATCACAAAACATGATGCTAAAGTACTCTCCTATCTTTTCAGATTTGAGAAACTTTTATCTTTATGCCTAAGTTGATTCTTCTCATTCGTTCTACCATACATCGAATCTTTTCCAATGTTTCAAAATTATACTTTAAACTTGTAAGTATAACCATATTTACTAAGCTTTAGTAAATCATGAAGAATATTCTTATCGATCTTTTGTGGTGGACCTGACCAGTGCACAAGAATGTATACTCAATCCGTTAGTCCTTCAGTTGATTCACTTAAACATGCGAACAATGAATTAGTCTTAATTTTCCAAAGATGAAAATTCTCATTCATCATACAACTTGCATGATTCCAAGTTTCTAACACACTGAAACTTGGGTGATGAGAATTTTTCCTTGTTTGGTAAACTTAGACACTCCAAAAATGAAAGAATCAAATCCACTTTCCAATATTACTATCAACGGAAACATATAAACAAAAATTTTGCACAAATGTCATTGTAAGGATACTTAGAATAAATAAAACCAAAAATTTTATTTTAAAACTTTGCGGAAAACTTATCCTTACAATGCAAAAGCATATGAAAAACTTGTTGTCATCTATTCCTAAGAAATATTACATAATTCCTAAGTAACAACTCAAAATTCCGATCACCGAACCATGCGATCGAAATCCATCTTTGCGATCAGAATCAGCATATACTTCCTTCTTCACTTTTTCTTTGATTCTTAAAACATCAATATGTGAACCAGTCACATCATGTAATAAGAATCTCATAATAGAAACTTAACAGAGTTTGATAGTGGACTTTACCTGAAGATCTTTCACGTAAATTTGGCAGCTTCGTAACCAATGTCCCTTACCATGCACCATTGTCAATGTCCATGGAAGTTTGGGAATTTGATCTTCAAATAAAATTTACTTTACTAGTCCTCCTAATCATTGCTGATTTAGAAGCACCAATCAAATAGATAATATCATTAAGGGTTATGTTATAATATGTTCCATAGTAGTCCCAAAGGATCTCACTATGTGATATAGAAAGTGATTGAACATTCAACTTTCTCAAGACTTTGACACCCAACTCTCCTGGCTTGTTAATATGTGACTTTATCTCCAAGATGTGAGCACACATAGACTTTGCTTGCCAATAGGGCTTGAGTGACCTTGAACTTGTGGGTTAGGAATAATAATTAGAGGAGATGGAGGAAGTGAAGTTCCAAGAGATTTGGGAAGATCATAGATTTCTGAATTAGACATCTTTTGGGAGATAGTTGATTTAAAGTCCTTAATATAACACCCAATATGAAATATTAAGGGTAGGACCCAACACAATATTTTATAGCTTGGAAGAGGGATGTTGTAATCCAAGCTATAGAATATTTGAAGGTAAGTGAATGACAATTCACCAATTTCCACCATGAAAAACAAAATAATTTATTAGGTTTTTATTTGAAACTCCTAGATCTTTTGAGATTCATTGAACTGTTCAATGACATGTTTCAATCTTGAGTGTGCCCTTCAGGTTTTGTGACTGGGATGCCGAGAATCACAAAACAAAGTGTGAAGTAACCATGCAAATTACTTGGTACTCTTAAGTGTTTACCCCTCAATCGATGTGTTGGTTAACCACACACGCTCAATCGATACTATGATAAACATTAAGTTACCCTTTGCATACCTTGTTAAATACGAGTTAGTGTGCCGGTTAACCACACACGCTCCACTAACCGACTTAAACAAAGTGCAAAGTGTAATTTCATGGATTAGCACCTTATTCACATTTCCTAAAGTAACTAAGATTGGGAATAATAAAAACATTTAGTTACTTTATATTTATCATTAATACTTTTAATGAAGGGAGAATTATAGTCCTTGTCCTACCTGTTCGGCTAACGACCCTTCACCAGTCAAGGAAGCGGTGGGTGAGAGTTGACAGCCATTAAACTACCATTTTATAGGCAGTAAACCTTATACCCCTTTTATAGACCGGCTTCGTGAGGCCTACTAATGGCTGAATTTTAACTTTTAAAGTATAAGGGTTGAATTTTAACTTTTAAAATTCTAAGGGCTTAATTTGGAATTAAAGTATTCATGGGAAACTTTACAAAATCCAAAACTTGAGGGTAAGTTTTTGAAACTATTAAAAACTTTTCATTTCATAACTTATGAGTTTAATGGTTCATTAAAATGAAGACTCTTCATTTTTTATGTAACCTCTTATTCTTTAATAACACTTTTAAAGAAGTGACTCTTAAACATCCATAAGTTGAGGACAAGTTACGGAGTCATAATACTATTTAATGAAAAAGACACTTCATTTTTTATGTAACCTATGACACTTTTATGAGTTTTAAAATTCATAAATGTGACCTTTTATGTAACTTGAGGACAAGTTACAAAAACACATTTTATGAACTACCTCTAGATTAATTAGGATTGAAAACAACTAAAACACAAATCAAACTAGCCTTACTCATAAGAATAGTTTGTGGAACAGTGATCCGTTTATCCAAAGACATAGCCAACTCAACATTAGTTAAGACTAAAGCTCCATAATATCCCTCAATAAAAACCTTCAGATGATCAAAAGCATTCAAAAAATATTCTTTGTTTGTCACTTACAGTTTTGTTAGATCAACACTCTTCATGATCAATGCCACAACTAGCAAATCATGAAGATTCATTAGCGGAAAGTCTGTATCCGAGAAGTCGAATGTAACATTGTTTGCTCGAACAGCATGATATCGGTAATTTTGTAGCATAGCTTCGAACACAACATGTTTGGTTATGCCCATAACGCAAACTATCTTGACCAATAATCATATCTCTTCTTCCTTCTTCCCAAGTACAACATGGAAACGAAACTTCATACGCATGTACTCAAGTTTATCTTTGTACTTGTCAGCAAGTTCAAACTGCTTATCCAAGAACATCATTATGTTCACTGGGAAGTCTAATTGATTCATATTGGAGTTTACAGTGTCGAAGCTCTTCTTGGTAATCTTCTCAAACTCATGCATCTCCCCAGAGACAAGCAATGCTTCAATATACTCATAATGATAAAGCTTTGTAGAATCACCTTTGTTGAGACCAGGTTGATCATTGGCTCTCTGTCAAAGAATACTCTAAGTTTATCTTTTCTTTTCGATTTCTTGTTCCATAGCTGCTTTCTTTTCTTCCTTCAAAAGCTCAATACTTATGTCTTTCCTTTTCCCTTTATCTGCTTTAGTAGACTTAGGTTTCGAAGATGAACTCGTACCACCAATTATAATTCCCTTCTTCAAAGGCAATGTTGTTGTTATTGTTGTTGAGGTTATTGGATCAGTTTTTCTTGGCATTGTCACTGGAATCTGAGTTGTTATTACCTTTCCCACTACCTTTGCATCTTCACCTCTTTTACCAGAACCTCCTTCACCTTTACCAATGCTAACATTCCTTTTTTCTCCCCCCTGCACCCTTGTAACAACAGGTGGGGCACCCGTTGGCATCAAAGGAAGAAGTTTCTCAAGCGGAGCCAATTCGTTGTGAATTGTTAACTCTATCAAGCTAAACTTTTAAGTTAAGAACCCGGGAGTAAATAAAGAAGATGACGAAGATCCAGATTTTGACTTGAGATCCTTTAACTCACCTAACAACTTTGTAATATTAACAAAATTTATAGCATTAACTTCAAACTTCTTTTTGAATTTGGGAACCAAGGAAGTATACTGTTCAATAGCTTTCATGACAGCATCATCAATTATATCGACCTTCGTATGAAGGGTAGAGTAATTGTGAGTTAAAATTGTGATTTCTTTCGCCATGTCATCTCTTAACTCTTGAAGTTTCAAATTTACATTCTCACAAATGGTCTTGACATCTTGAATATACAAAAAATGTCTTTCCTTTGCAACATCCTTCAAAGCTCTAAGAGCTCTAATAAAGTGCTTAGATTGAGCTTTGACCCTTAACTCATTATTCTTGTCAATTCGATCAAGTTTGTCCTGAATACAATGCTCTTGAGCTTTCAACATGACGTCCACCTCGATACCCGAAAACTTAATGTTTACCCCCAGCATCTGCTTGTAATTGTATCAATGAATTAAGCTTCTGATTAAGAATCTTAAATTTCTTTCCAGACATCAACATGTGATCGGGAATGTCCTCCTCATTAGGATCAAACTCTATATCAGCAAAAGAACCCACAAACCCACCATCATCAGTTTCATCATCATTAACTGTTTTGGGACCTTCTGTGGATTGGGATAGGAATAAGGAAGTAATGGGTTGTTGCATGATATTATCAAAAGTAGGTGAATGAGTTGATGGATGTGATTTGGTTGAAGTAGGAATAAGAAATGGAGGTAAAGAAACTATAGTATCAACAAGAGATGTTACGAAGGTAGAGGAGACAACAAGATGAGGATTACCTTGGGTGGATGTATTCGATACTTCCTCACCCATAATGACATTTACATCCATATTAGATATGTTCGCAGTGATTCCTGAAGTGCGAACCTCCTCATGAATTGATTCGGCAGTCGACACTTCAGGTGGTATGACGCCAGACTGCTTCGGAGTAGACGCCTTTGTTTGTTCACCTGGATTGATGCGTGTGTCTACTTTAGAACTTGCCACATTGCCATCAGGATTTCCAGTCGCCTTGAGATTCAACTTGAGTGGAGAATCCCTCACAGGTGAAGAATGGCCCATCTGATCATCTTGAATTGGAGACTCGGGAACAACTTCCTCATCCATTGAATCATCATGGATATCTAACTTCCTTAGCTTCTTATTTTGTCTCTTGGAAAGAAGTTTGGCCATGTCTTCTGCACAATGTTTCTTCGAAGCTGGAGAAACATGTACTTGAATTTCACAAAATAGAACCCCCTTTCGACTTACTTATGGATTAACTTTAAAGGTTGGTGAAAAACTTTTCTATCTTTCAGGAGAATGGCAAGGTTTATGAGCCATCGTTTTCACCACACCAGATTTTGAAGGTAAGACTTCCGTTATAGGCTTCGAAACTAGTTTAGAAACAACCATCGGAGGTGGCATAGTGTGTACTTTTTTCTTTGTAGTAGACTTAGCAACCTTCTCAACTTGCTTAGGTTGTGTTGTTGATGGACTTTCCTTTATAGCTTTCGTAGACCCCTTCTTCTTCTTTGATGGACTAGTGTTTGTAGTTAACAAAACACCAATTTTGATATCAGAATTAATCGTTTTCAAATATCTCACTAAAACAAGATGAGATGGATCAACCTTCCGAAGCATTGCATCTGGGATTCTCGCAACAGTTGGGAAATTTTCCTCATCATCTTTAACAGTTTTAGAATGATGCAACATCGAAAATTCAACAGTTTCTTCGTTGTCTGGAGCCAAAATACCTTCCTTCTCATAAGCAAATTGTAAAATTAAGCTCCAGTAACGAGCACACAAAATCCCATCGACTACATTCGTGTTCACGACACTTTTCACAAACACATTCCAAAGTTGAGTTGCATAATCCACTGACAAATCATAATATAATCTAGCCACCATTGCATAAACCTCAAAACGACCTTTATGTAACCCCACTGTTCTTCCAGTTAAGCATAGTAGATATATACCAAAGAAAAAAAATCCAAATATAAGGTAATCTAGACTTCTTAAATTCGGTGATTTTAGTAAGAGTAGGTTGATAACCCATCTCATTGAACATATGAATGATTTGTTCATTTGTTACCTTGTACAAGGGTTCAACATTAGGAATACTAAGAATCTGAACAAAAGTATTCTTTGACAATCGAAACTTCTTGTCATTCATAATTTTAAAATTCACTTGTTCATCGTCTTGCTATAAGTAGCCATAGAACCAGCAAGAGACAGCCAAGAAACTAGTACTAAAAAAGAACTGAACATCGCCTTGGATAATACGGAATTTTGAAGAACAATGATGAACATCTTCAATTCCTCAGGGTAAAGAGAGACATCTGGTTGAAGTTGAAAGTTTGTGCTTTGAATCTTCTTCATCGGTAGTGATGTGATGTCGTCAGTGGTTTGTGATGGATCAACAAGAACATTTGGTGCAGCCATGGTTAGGGTTTTAAGAATCGGTAAAGAAGACAGAGAGTTCTTTTGATTTGGGGATTTACAAAATGCGTAAAATTGAGATTGAAACCCAAAACCCCTTTTTATATGTAAACGTAATTTGAATTTGAAGCGGGTTCTGACATTAAATGTGGCTGATGTGGCTCCATGAAAATCGTACCAATCGCCGGAAAATTAGCCTAGTGTGAAAAAGTGATGTGCACTTTTTCTTTGAAAACCGGATAGGAAGTCAAAACATCACATCAGTCATTCGTTTCTCTTGCCCCCATGGAATGAGAATCGTCAGTAACCTTCAATATCGACTTTGGGCTCTTTCACTTTTGGGTTTAAAAGTGAAATCATGTGCTAGACTTTCTAGATCATCATCCTGAGTTGGTATTACTCAGAACCTCAAGGATTTCGTGAGTGCAAATTGTACCAAAAAGAAGATAAGAAGCAAGATAAGAAAATTTTGGATTTTGTGATGTCGAAAATATTTCAACATAAAAGCAGTAAGATCCTGGGCAAAGATCACTTCGTTATTCATCAAGAGAGATGACTAACATCTCGTGTGGTTTCTAGTGGATTACAATTGAATACTTATAAAGAATTATCGAAGGGCTTCTTTTATTAGGATTCATGGGTAGCTAAATTTTTTTTTTTTTTTTACAAATCACATCTAAACATAAGAGTGACAAATTGTAAACGAAATTACCTGGATGACCAGTGTAGTTAGTGACAAGTAAGGTTTGGAAAATTTTATTAGGTGATGAAGATTCAAAATGATACTCACACTAAAATCGTACTCCACAAAACAAAATTATTAGGGGTGAGCATAGGTAGGTACCCGGCTAAATTTGACGGAACCGGAACCGGAACCGGCAGTTCCTAAGATGTTGGAACCGGAACCGGAACCAGTTGTATCGATTCTTGATATTTTGGAACCGGAACCGACGGTTTCAGTTCCGATTCCGGGTAACCACTTAAAAAAATAGAAGAATTTAGTTACATATAATTGTCACGATTAAGTAATAAAAGATCTATGATTGTTAATATATATAAACAATTTTATCATGTCCAGTAATTCGCTTCCTCACGATGATACATTTTCTTGTTTGGCGTATTTTATCATTAAAATAATGCTAATAATTTTGTTAAAATCTATTGATTCATAAAGAGTTTTATCATATTCATACATGGTAGTTTTCACTGTTTAATAACCAAGTCGCAACGCCCTCAACCTTTTTGTGCTTATGTTGATAAAAGAACTTGGTAATATTAATATCATGTTGTTTAAAGTTTTCCAAACATGTTAGTGCTTGAGTGTTTAACATTGATAAATGATTTGTTCTTTGCTCAGCTTATTGTTCCACATCACAAAAATGACTCTATATTAGGTACAAAGTTTATATAGTTCACATTCTTCAACACAATCAAAGACACGATATTATATATATATATATATATATATATATATATATATATATATATATATATATATATATATATATATATATATATATATATATATATAATTGGTTCAGACGGGTACCCGACGGTTAGCGGTTCCAAAAAAATGGGAACCGGAACCGGAGCCGCTTAAGGTGGTTCCAAAAATTTAGGAACCAAAACCGGAACTGCCTAAGGCAGTTTCGGTTTTGGAACTGGCAGTTCCGAGGCGGTTCTGGTTCCGAAAGCGGATACCCTGTTCTGATGCTCACCCCTAAAAATTATACTTGGATCTTGTTGTATAACAAAAGTTGTGGGTTTCGAACATTTGATCAAGATTACGCAAAACGAATGAATATAATTTGGAGTATCGAAAGTAGGTACTGAAACAAATGGTTCATTAAAATCTGGAACAAAGTTCCTCGTCAATTCCTTCAAATGATCGATATTTTGGGTTTCCCTTTCATCTGTCACGCTAGTGATCAACTGATCACTAATCACTGCTCCTCTCCAAGTCTAAAGTCTCCCCGTTGGAAACCTAGAATCAATCAGCAATCGACTCTCGACAATCACTCAATTAGGCCAGTTTTGTTTTCTCAACAATTAGAATCTCAGTTCTCTCTATTTCTCTCTTCTCTCTTCTCTTGTTCAAGTGTTCAGTGAATGTGAATCAATGTTTTTAGTTTTCTCATAAAATTGTTAGATAATTGATTTCTGATTGTTAGGACTTAGTAGCATTGTTTCTTTGTTAATTAATTGATTTCTCATAAATAAGATTTGAAGAATTTAGGAACATTGTTAGTTAATTGATTTCAAAATTTTGTAGAATTTTGTGGAAATATGATTTGCAAAATTTAGGAGCAATGTTAGTCTCTTAGAAATAATGAGTTTGCAGAACTTGACTTGTTGGTTCTTGAGCATCTTGTTTTCTTGCCTTCCAAATGTTTAAAAAATATATCTAATCAAACCCTTTTGCGGATACATTGTAACCCATGAAATTGTGAACTTGACAGTAGCAATAAATCAACTATTTTTCATGACCCCATATTCTCAATGTTCTCAATAGTGCATCATAAGAACTTCACTTGTAGATGCATAGTTCAGCTCAGCAAAACTTGACCATCTTAGACGTGATAAAAAAAGCAAAGCATAGAACTCGACATAAGCTCTAGACATGCTTCTAAGGAACTACTCATAGAGTTATATCAACAATCTAAATATGTTGAGACGATAGATGATGGATTCATGCTAGACCCAAACTAGTCAAGTAAAATTCATATCATTCCATGTAGTCACAACTAGTCAGGTAATATGTTGAGGCTATAGATGATTGATTCATGCTAGACTCAAACTAGTAAGGTAAAATTCATATAATTCCATGTACTCACAACCATAAATTAAGTTTCCAAATAAAACATAGGTGAGTGTTTGGTAAGATGGAATCAAGTAGTCCTATAATCTAAATGGGTTTATAGGCATATATCTTTGGTACAGGTGGACACCAAGTTCAGAGTGTCAATACCTTAGGTCTTGGTATTTTTGGTGTTTAATTGCGAAAAAATTAGTTTTTTTATTTGTAAGAATGGAAATTTTAGTTTCTACTACTACCCCCCCCCCCCCCTCCCCTCCAATAATAATAATAATAATAATTATAATAATAATAAATAAATAAATTACAGACATATTCATGCAGATTTCCAATCTAAATGCATTTATAGGCATATATCTTTGGTATAGGTGGACACCAAGTTCACAATGTCAATACCTTATGCCTCGGTATTTTTGGTGTTTAATTGCCGAAAAATTGGTTTTTTTATGTGTAAAAACATTAATTTTTGTTTCTAATACCCCCCCCCCCCCCCCTTAATAATAATAATAATAATAATAATAATTGTTGAAGCTCCGCACTCATTATGAAACTTGTGTTTTACAGACATATTCATATGTAGTTTGGTAAGATTTGAACTTTTAAAATCTGAATTTTAAAGAGATAGAAAGAAAAGAGAATACTGAAAGAGAAAAAGAAAACATTCGTTTAAAATAAAAATGGAAGTGGAAAAAAGATTTGCAAAAAAATTATGGTATTCCTGAAACATGTTCCTCTTTTTTATGCAGATCATTCGTTTACAATTTAAGGGAGTATCAAAAATTTTGAATCTAAAAAATTAAAAAATTAATAAACTATCAAACAACTAGTCTCAAAACGGACATCAATCACAAACAAATCCAAGGGCAGAACTATATACGATCTTATCCAAACAAAATGTAGGTTATAATTTTTTGACATCATACCAATATTTGATAAA